TATATACGCCTGAGCGGAAAACCGTGCTCGATAAAACAAACAGAAGTAAAACAAAGAAAATATCACTTACGCCTGAGCGGAAAACCGTGCTCGGTAAAACAAACAGAAGTAAAACAAAGAAATATCATAGGGATTCAGAGTTGATTGTGAAGAAAATATGAACGGAAAACGTCCTCGTGGATTGCTCCTTTTTGCCTGTGAAGAAAATATGAACGGAAAACGTCCTCGTGGATTGCTCCTTTTCTTCGTACAATCTGGTAAAACAAACAGAAGTAAAACAAAGAAAATATCACAGTTCGAGTCAGAGTTGATTGTGGAGAAAATATGAACGGAAAACGTCCTCGTGGATTGCCCCTTTTCTTCGTACAATCATGGTCACTACAGAAGTAAAACAAAGAAAATATCACAGTTCGAGTCAGAGTTGATTGTGAAGAAAATATGAGACGGAGAACGTCCTCGTGGATTGCTCCTTTTCTTCGTACAATCATGGTCACTACAAAAGTACACGGAGAGATGAAACATTGCGGATACACTACTAATGATTATAATCAGACGAAGAAGATGTTTTTTTAATAATAAAGGTAACAAACTGAATATTTCATTTCTGCTTCTCGGTCAGATTGGGTAACTTTGTTTTACTGTATGACTGTATTTTGTACTATAACAACGCCTTTGGCAGCAGTTCGTAATAAGTCATTTTTCGTTAGTGAAGATGGCCTCTGACTTGGATCTAGATGATAAAAGAGTTGAATTTGTCGCGGATTATGTTTTAAAATCCAATAAAATAAAGGGTGATAAATGGATGAAGCTATGGAACAATGAAGAAGCGAAGCAAATAATATTCAATTTCTTTGACAAGCCAGATATATCACAATTGTTTATCGTAATGAACGCAGCTGGATTGTTGCAAGCGCAACTGGAATGTCCTTCTGGGGTCAAATCCAAATCCTGTTTCTTTATGAAGAAAGAAAAATGCATGATCAAAAAGGATTCTCCTGTGAATAAGCTTCTTATTTATGGAGATCTCCCACAAAACCCTTTGGAACATTTTTCAGCTTTTGTTGATGAGGTTTGTTGCCGTGTTTGTATATTCTTTGTTCTTTAGGTGCTTCTGCCTTTGGTTTCCAACAAAAGGAATTACGTTTCTTGGCCAGACGTTGTTTACGAAGATGTCGTGAAACACGCACACGGGCTGAAACGGCAAACCGATATTATTGTGGGACAGGCAAAAGGAAAAACCCTTCTTCCTCTTTTAGTTGATTCTGAGAAAACAAAGGATCATGTTAAAGAAGGGTATGTTCATCAAAGCATTTATTCTCTAATTGTTTGAACACCGTTAATTTCAAAATCACAGGACATTAGGGAAGCTTTCCACTGTTGATAATGTTGATGAGTAATGTAGCCTTTAGTTCGTAATTGGTAATCAGGTTCAGGGTGTTTACAATATTCCCGGATCTGTGTTTGTCTTCTTTCTTTTCTTGATGTGAAATGGGAACAACTGCAAAACTGTCCATCTTACAGTTAGGCGCCTCTAGGTTTATTTTTCCTCGGTTTGTAAGTTCAGGTGACAAATTATCCTGTTTCTTGCTCTGATGGGTACTTCGATCCGGCAATCTGATTTTAATATCCTCTTTATATAATCGCCGCCTTCATGTGACACTCTCTGGTTTCCTGGATTCGTTTTGTTTTCTGTCCAGCGCTTAATGTGAAAATGCTTGTATGGTATGCTTACATAAATAAAGGAACACTAATCCCCTCGGTGCAGTTTTCCATGCCCTTATTTTTATTTCGCGGTAAGTATCTTGTCCAGTCCTTCATTTTAAAATCCTTCCCCACGATAACTTCTTCTCTCGGCGTTTTATTCCAAATATTCACAAAACCGACTGTCAAAATTTGACTCCTATTACCGCTTCTGAACCTTTATTTCTTCAAATTCAACACGTATCCTATAAGGGATTTTTAGCCCGTTATCTTGAATTTTGGATCACTGTTCCTAGCTCTGTCATTCATGCCCTCCGTTACTTTCCTCTTCTCCTTAGGAAGAACAGTCTATGGTCTTGGAATTTTTAGTCAGACCAGACCCCTGCTGTTTCCCAACCACCTTTTGAATCATCACTGTACGTTTTCAAAAATTCTGCCATCCCTCACTGTACTTAATCTTCACGCTTCGTCAAATTACTGCGGGTGGAACTTAATATAAGCCTTGAGCAGGGTTCAAAAGATCCTTAGTTTTATCAAGCAAACTACCCTTTTCAGTTTGTATGGAACCCGTGTGGCCAGGTACTTTCTTTATTTGTACTAACGGCTAGGTCCGAAGCTCAACCCAATTATAGCTTCCAGATCTCCGACTTTGTTAATCATTCTCAGTTCCTTTCTGTTTTTCGGTGGGCCTTTGTAGAAAATGAGCCGTGGTGCGTTATCCCCATTAAGTTGCTAGTATCTCGCCACATTAAAGACCATGTAAGCACTCTAATAAAGTTTTACTAAATCCCGCCTTTGGTAATTATCGTCTGAAAACTTGTAACATGAACTTCCTAGAAACTTCACTACAAAGAGTTAGGAAAAGGAAGAAAGAATACTTTTTTCTGTTCTCCCGTATGGGTCCCTCAGGAGGCTTTAAAGCATTCTTAGCACAATGAGGTAGATTTCGTCCGGCCCTTCTGAGCTAAAAGGGTTGGCGTACTCCCAAACACTAGTTTTAATAATAAATGAATCTACCGGGGTACAATAAGATGAGGATTGTATAGAATAATAATCCACAGTATTAAGGTGATCAAACATCTTTTTAATGTAGACGAATTGTTTTCAATACTTTTGAGGTAAATGTTGCTTTTATCCCATATGACAGGAAATAGACAAAAAGAATGAAACATTTTCCACTTCTGCCAAATATTTTTATCGATGATTGATCAGTTTACGTGTGATTCAACGATAATGTGAATATCCTGCTTCCAACCATATTATCTTATTCGTAATTGGCATACATGTATGATTAAAATGAACTCACTGACATTTACTCCCAAACCTAATGAGCTTTACATTTAAAAAACCGCAATCGTTCTTTAAGAAGGTCAAAAATTACACGCGGTGAGAAATATTTATTTAAAGGCAAAACTTACAAACTTGGGACATATGTAGATGATCTGCTGTGCATTGTCTGATTGCTGAGATAGTCGGTATATCCTGTCTGATCTACTTGATTTCGGTATTTCCGAGTTCCTTTTGTGAATAGAGTAACCTTAAACTGAAAGGAGTTTTGAGAAAATCAACATGAAGCACGTTATTGTGCACCAATATGCGACGCAGAGAAACCTAAACGTCGATATCCCCAAAAAAGTAATCAAACGCATTGCAGCGAGTGTATAAAAGATTTGATATTTTATTATCTGGTTGATAGATTCAGTGCAATTTAGTCACGTTTTACACATACGTCCTATAAAAATATATAGTCAATGAATATCATGCACAAACTATGCAAATGAATACATAAAGTAGAGCTGCATTTTAAAAGTCGCTTCTGAAAGAGGGATTTATTGATTATTTGATTAAAAATCTAACTTCGTTATTTCATTGTAGACCTTGATTGGATTGCAAGAAACTCACATCTAGTTAGGTGCTCTTTTGTCTAATTAAGTCTAATTAAATCTAAAAGTTTCACTAAAAAATACAAATATTCTTAACAAGTTTTAGAGATATTATATTTGAAACTATTCTAACAAAGCCTTTATCCAGCTCAAGATGAGTTGATGCTTATACAAACCATCCAGAAGAAATAGAATTAAGTCCATGATTCGTCGGTTATGGTGTCCTTTAAACTAAAAAAATGAAACCTAAGGCGTTCGTGAAAACCTGTAGATGTCTTAACAAGACATAAAAACATTCACAATAGAAAACTAAAATTAGATGAGCATTCGAAACGCGGTGAAGTGAAGTTAAATAATAGTCATAGATATGGATCAGAATAGAAGTTGGTAGAGCAAATATAGTACAGTCCACCTTAAAATCAGATTATAAAACAGATCGAAACATAAAGAAGTTTGCGATGACATAGTTATGGTTATGTTGACTGTTCCCCTCATTTTTTCTTCTGCATCAACTTTCCGCTATTCTTACAGTAACTTCTGTTGCATTAACGGGATTCTTGTAACGAAGTTTATATATATATATATATGTGTCAAATTTCACAATCCCATTGACCTTAGGCCAGAGTAGCAGTAGGGTCTTGACACACTGATTCTACGATCATTGTTTTGTTTAGCCTGATCGCGATCGTTTCGGCTGTGGACAGGATTCAATGCCTCGCCCCTTTTGACGTACCACCCGGTAGACTACCTAGAATGCCTCTCTTTGTGCCAGTTCGTGACCCGTGTTTAGTACTTGGGCTGTGATGTCATTTTTTGAATTTTAATTGATTTTGGATGGTTTTGTCGACTTGGGATCATTATCGCCGTTATTCTGTCCCTTAAAATAACTTTATGTTCGTTCCAGGAAAATAACTCGCTCTTTGGTCTATGCAATCGAATCTCTGGTCATTGCCTGGTCGCATCAAATTCATAAAGCTTTGCTCAAGGACTCGGCCCAACCCCTTTTAAATGGACTCAACCCGAATCCGCTGGTCGAATTGGACTTTTGGAAAGCAAAAGCAACCAATTTGGAGAATATCTATGATCAGCTCAATGCTCCAAAAGCGCGTCAAATGGCACAAATATTGGAGAGCGCTAACAGTAGCTATTTTGTTCCGTTCAAAGAAATGTTCAAGTCGGTTGTTGTTGGTATGTGTTTTGTTCGTCTTTGTTTTATTTTGTTTTGTTTTTGCATGATGATCACATATATCTTGTTTACGAGTCGAAAAAGAGTAGGTCAATGATGTAATTTTTGTTACTTTAAGAGGTTTTAGTCAGTGATTGGAAACGGTCATGCTTTATGCACAATCCTGAGTTCATCCAGTCGTCTGTACACTCGAGAAGCACAGTGTACTTTGAGTTAACTGTCCTTATATAGCTCTTCATTGGTGCATATCCATCTTCCCGTCCGGGCTTCGATCTCGGGACTCATCGCACGCAAGACCTGTGTTAGCATTGTGCCAACCAGCTCAAACGGATATGCATTACAGATAGGAGAGTGAAAATCAGGTCTAGCGCTTTCTGAGTGTATGATGGACTGGATAAACTGAAGATTGAGTGTGATGATGGAGTCTGCAGGAGCACTGGCTCAAATAAAAAAACATTCATCCCGCAACACTACTCACAAGTAACTGTGAATGAAATGTGAATTTTAATCAATCACAATTATATCAATCTGATTTTACATTGCCAAAGATCTCTTCACCAGGTCCCAAATAAAACATCTCTGAAATTCGTGTCAGTGAGTTATCAAACACATTGCTCAGATCATTCATTTCTAAACTTTTGCTTAGTTTTATTTAGGTTACCTTTCAAGATTCCAAGGCTGGTGTACACATGAATAAATTCCCACTCGGAAGATCAAGTAGGTTTAAAGTAGCGTGAAGAAACCGGGTGATTAAGGTGATTCAATATGTGGAACTCTGCTATTTTAATTGTAGCTTTCAAATTGAATCTGAAATCGGTTCAAACTTCAACCGGATGTTTCAAACGATGGTACTTTTTGTGCTGATTTACATCACTAAATGCCTTATTTTCCACTATGTTAATTGACGGATACCACAATGCAAATTTCTATGCATGATGCCTATTAAGAGAGACATAATAGAATGTCTGCTGTGGTGATTAAGGAGAATATATAATACAGATATATCTCTTTCATGAAGTTAGGGCCTGTAACTCCGACTGAGGGGGTGTTTTAACACATGAAACGGTACATCGGAGAACAGAACAGATGATCCAATGAACTGCGGTTTTCACATAACGTCCAGCTACCTTGCCGGCCAGATTTTGGCTAGTCGAAGGCTCCGATTCTTAATTTGCCTGCCT